AGTGGATTGCCTGAGCCTGCGGGTTCGAGACCCGCCTGGGCAACTTGGTGAGACCTCATCTCTACAATAAAATAAAATAAAATAAAATAAATTAGCTGGGTGAGGTAGCGCATGCCTATAGTTCCAGCTACTTGGAAGGCTGAGGTGGAAGGATCATGGGAGCCCAGGAGGCCGAGGCTGCGGTGGCCGAGAGCGGCCACTGCACTCCAGGCTGGGTGACAGAGACTCCAACTCAAAAAAAAAAAAATAACTTGTAGCAATGGGGGCCTCACTATTTTGTCGAGGCTGGTCTTCAACTTCTGGCCTCAAGTGATCTTCCTGCCTCAGCCTCCCAAAGTGTTGAAATTCCAAGCATGAGCCACCATGCCTAGCTACTTTTAAAAAAGTATCTTTTTACTATTTTTTAAAGTCATGGTGACAGGCGGCCAGTTGTTAAATTTAAGAAGAGAGGAAGTGAGAGGAAGTGAAGTGAAAGCAAGACCATGGGTCACATGGAAAAAGAGGGTAAACAGTCCCCATTTCTGTATGCCCAAATCCTTTCCCCCAGAATCAGGCCCACCTCCGGGTCTGGTGGGCATGGGACTCACCCAGGGTCAAGAGTAGAAGCATGGAACCAAGACCTTGTAACTTACCAGAGATTTCCCGTTTGATGTTAGGCAGCTCAGCTGGGCAGGAGTTGCTGACAGTGATGGCTGGTGTGGCCACACCCTGACTACTGTACACATCAAGCAGATTCCCTGACACAGGCAGCTGGGGGCAGGGAGGGCAAAGACACACAGGTTGGCAACAGACCCCAGGCTCGGCTACTCCTCAGGACCAGGTTCCTAAGCCTCCACACACCCCAAAGGTGGGGGCTTCTAATGCAAGGATTGGCTGACTCAGCACAGGAACCCTTCCTGCTCCTTCAAGGCAATCTCACATGGCAACTCAACAGGAAGGACACAGTAAGCTGGACCTACCTTGCTTTGCTGGGACACTGGAACCTGCCTGGCCTGCTTCTTACCCCCCTTCAGTGACCTCTGAAGCCCCTCTCCCAAACCCCAGGGCTGGCTCTGAGAAGAAAAGTTGGAAAATCATTCTCCTCAGGTCTTTATCAGCTCTGATGCGACATTCCAGTCCATTAGCTCCTCCCAGCACCACATTCCAATCCAGCATTCTTGGAACACTCCAGCCCAATCTTCTCAGACCTTGGTAAATCGTCATAGTAACATTCCATCCAAAATCTGGTCTTCTGGAGAGTTCCAACCTAATCTCCGGTCTTTTGCTCTGATCAAGTTACACCAATATCCATACTATGGTTTCCTGCTACATGTACCAAGGTCACGATTCTAGTATCTTCCTGCACATTCTGATCTCTCAGAAGATTCTTGTCCAACTATTCAACCAGCACTGCTTTTATGTGTAGTTTGTTTTCTCTCCATCACACTATTTTGGATATGCTCTAGGGCAGCACATTAATCTATAAGTACACCTAAGTCCCACCTCTTGATGAGTTTTCATCTCTTAAAATCCTCTATGGTCAGCTGGATTCATTTAATATGAGGTTCCAATCTCTAGCTGTGTCCAAATCAATACAAGGATATATATCAATCTGATAAACAGGTACCATTTTTATACATGCTTCGATTATCTTGATAAGTTGGAAAAAAGCCAAGCTGTGACCACTTGGTATGAGTTATGAGACTCTTGGAATGTCCTAGAACCAAAATGTTACAATGGTATACCCTTTGCTCGAGAACCTTTTATTCACTCTCTACAGAGACCCAGCCTTTTCGTGTACAATCCACTGAAACAGACTTGGTATATCTCAAGCACTACAAGGTCGAACTACTTTTTTTTTTTTGAGTCAGGGTCTCACTCTGTCACCCAGGTGGGAGTATAGTGGCATGATCATGGCTACCGTAGTCTTGACCTGCTGGGCTCAGGCAATCCTTCTGCCTTAGCCTCCCGAGTAGCTGGTACTACAGGTACACGCCACCATACCCAGCTGATTTTTTAATTTATTGTAGAGACAAGGTTTTGCCATGTTGCCCAGGCTGGTCTCAAACTCCTGAGCTCTGGCACTCCTCTTGCATCAGCCTCCCAAAGTGCTGGGATTACAGGTGTGAGCCAGCTCAACTACTTGTTTTAACCCAAACCAATTTTGAAGACTTTTGGTATATTCGAATTTCTACATGGTCTGGGTATGTCCCAATGACCTGAATCCCTTGGTACATTCAGATTGCCACAAGATTTCCACCTCTTTGCACTTCCCAAAGCAAATACCCAAGTAGCTCAGTATGCCCTAGTATCTCTGAGAATGCCCTACCTAGTATCTCTCAAAGTCTACAAGGACCACCTCTCAATGTGGTTCAACAAGGCTCAAGGGCATTGGATGCCCTGTTCTCCTCATAAGGCCCCCCTCTCTATCCCAGCATGATACATGACAAGGGTCTCATATAAACACAGCCAGCACGGGTGTGGTCTCAGTGATAGAGGGATGCCCTAATTTTCAGACTAGCCTCCCATCTCAGGGCCTCACCGTGCTGGGGAGCTGCAGCCCTGTGGTGCCTCCAGGCAGATAGCTGAGCATCTCATCATTGTAACTGGACTCCAGGCTGATGATCTCATCAATGACATCATCAATCTGGGGGAAGAAGTAAATACTATACAGGGTTAGAAGAATTGGAGGGGGGAGCATGGGAAAGTTGGCTGCAGCCTCTTACCTCCTTCTCTGAGCTGGACCCGATGGTGAGCAGTGCCATGGGGCTGTTGGGAGCACTGCCTGTGGGGCCGGTAGCATGGGCAGCCTCGGGAGCAGGCAGCGGCTGGGCACTCGCGGGCCCTGGAGGTGGGGTGAGGGCCTGGGAAGCCAGTTTGGGCCCAAGTGTGGTAGATAGGTACTGCTTCACCTGCTGCCGGCGTGCCTGCTGCAAGTGGTAGCGTGTCGGGTTCTCCAGGTGGGTCTGCACCTGTGGAATAAGGAAGATGAGGAAAGGGAGGGGACAAGTAGAACAGGACTCAGGGGAGGGGTAACTCTGAGCCCCAGCCTGACACTCCTAACCCATCCTAGACTTGGGTGAGTGAACTGGGACCAGAATCTGGGAATGCCCCCAAAATGTCAGGAAGTTTTCCCCAAGATCCAAACTCTCTCTCCCAGAAATCCTTCACAGACCCCAAGATCTACCCATGACTGACAGGATCCCTTAGTTTCTAGAAAACCCCGTCATAGTCTCCAAGACTCCCCCCTACTCTCTGATACGGAACCATACATGACTTTCCAAGACACTCTAATGATCAAAGAACTCCTAACGCATCACACACACACACACACACGAAGTTCTTCCTACAAAGCCAGGATCCAGCAAGACATCCTTGTGTTCTCCAAGAACCCCTCACAAATCCACAAGATCACCTCGGAAATCCTAAACCCATGGGACGTGAGCATAGACACTAGTACCAGAGACCTTCCTTAGAGCCCCCAGAACCACTCCTCAGTCACCAGGAGCCTCCTCCCAGGACCTCTGGACCTCACCTTACCTTGAGCACCTCCCTGGGCACCTGAGCAGGGGGTGGACGGCCCAATGTATGGCCCCCAGCAGAGACGCCAACCACTGAGATGGCAGGAGAGGCAGGTGCAGGATTGGGGAAGGGAGCCGCTGCGGCCTGTTCCCGACGCTCACGCCTCTCCTGTTCTTGCGCCTGGGCCCGCATTAGCTGCTGCCGCAGCAAGACCCTCGACGAAGAAGATGACGACATGGCAGGGGTCCTGGAGCCCCCTGCAGAAGACGATGCAGAGAGTGTAGCTGGGGTGGCTGATGTGGCCTGCAGTGATATTGGGAGGCTGTGGAATGGGAAATATGGGGCCACAGGTAAGCTAAAAGTCTTGTCCCAAGGCTAAGGGGTCATAGCGTGATGGAATGGACACAGGAAACAGGCCTGTTTTCTGCCTACCAAGGTCACAATGTAGAGGCAGAGACACAGGAACCAGGCCTGGTGGTGGCCCTCAGCGGTCAAAGTCTGAGACACAGTGGAACCAGACCAGGTCCTAACACTCAGAGGTCAGTCTGGCGGGAGACTTTTAGCCTTGAGTCCTTATGGTAAAGCCTAGATCTGAGCCCGTCCATGTTAAGTGGAGATACCCCAGCTTAGCTCTGCAAGTGGGGTTTATCCTATTTCAAGGAAAGCTGAAGAAGCAGAATTGAGGCTGTGGTAGCAGAATGTGGATACTCCTAAGCCTAACTTGAGGCTGAAGATGCCCTCTGAGCTCCTGGTGTGGGCATCAGGCCACAGGAGCAGCCCCAGGTTCCTCTTCCTCCCCTGCTTGGGCCTCTGGTCCCAGGAGCTAGTCAGTCTTGAAAATCTCAGAGATTTCACAATCTTCTCTTCCTGCCCCTCTTCCAGGTCCCCTCCCCTCTCTTAGAGCCCAGGCCGATGACTCAGCACATTTAGACTCCCAAGCTGGGGGGAAAGAGACCAGCAGGGGTTCCTCAAGGACTGAGGGCTGGTGAGTTTGTAACGTATGGGAGGGGGCATACAAGGGGCTAGGG